CAGATAATGTTTGTTACCACGGAAAAGCATGGGAAAGTGAAGGAAAGTCAGTTATTTTTTCCCCCAAGCATGTTTGGATGGCAAAAATGTTTAAAAATTATCTTGCACTTGACTGCATTTTGTGCCTTGTAAAATTTGTAGGATTTTGAAGTAAAATAGCTGGTTACCAGCAAAAGTTGCAATAACTGCTACTAACTCTCACTAACTCCCTATATTCTCTCAATATTTTTCTTAGTAACCAAATGTGTATGGGAAACTCATTTACATTTTCTTTTACCTCACTTTTTTTTTCACTTCACTTTCCCATACAATTTTCTATTCAAACGGAGAAGCAGACATCAGGAGAGAATACATCTATCATCAAACTTATGGACATGACCCTTTTTTCAGTTTTAACATATGTGTTCATGAGTTACTACCATTATAATTTCACTCTTCTTGGTGGTAGAGATAGGTCCATAATCCTTACGGCACAATTTTACGAAACATGATGCATTGAATAGAAAAACAGAGAATTGATGAGAGAAATGCTATACATAACCAAAGTCTTTATCAGGCTGAGGACTGATTTAAAAAGCATGATCTGGAGCTTGACCACATGAAAAGCTTGATTAGAAAAAACGACAGAAGGACCAAGAATTCACGCAGAGACGCATACTTACACAAAACAGACATCCAGCCAATTATCCCTCTGTTGAAGTGCAGTCCAGAGATCAACAACCTTAATATCCAACTCTCGACACAATTTTATGCAGGCTTCTGAATATATTTGGCAGGATTCATTTGTTCGACAAAGCTGATCACATGTTCGACTAAGGAAAACCATTCAAACACTTCAAATTGATAATGTTCCTCATAAACCACTAAAATTCACTGAAAATTAACATTTCCTTACCCAAAAAATTCACAAATTTGAGCCTCATTCACAGGAGGGGTGCTAAGGAAGAGTACACGAGTCTTGTCTGAAAGAGACTGCCAAAGGAACATTAGTCAGTCGGAAAGCCAGAAAATAATTGAAAAGTTAAAGGAGGCCCAGAATAATTGGATTTGTTCTTGAGGTTCACGTTCACAGAACTAGATGCAAATACAAGATAAAGCAAGCGCTCTGAAACACGGAAGGGAGTGTAGTAGGGCAGAACAAACAGCTGCCATTAACATACGTTACCAGTGATTGACAATTCAGGTATCAGGTCAGTCCAATGCAAAATAAGTATTTAAAACAGCTTTCTCCAAAAAAAGTCACCTTAAGATGAAAGGCAATTTTCTTCATATTCTCCACATATTCTGCAAGAGGAACATGAGGTCCTTGACCACTTGGGTCAGGTCTCATTGAATCATTACCGCCAAAATAAACTATAACTAGAGAAGGCTGCACGGCTGCATGCTACAGGAAAACAACTTCAAGGATAAGTTTACTGAAAGGTGAAATAGTTCTTGAATATGTTGACGAGGAACATTGGATTCTGATGAAATACTAAAGAGAATGTACCTTGGGGAAAACTTGTTCCAGGACTTGAAGAGCACCCCGTGAGTTCCAACCAGCATATCCTCTCAATAATATATCAGCCTGCCCCACCAGTTTACACAGAGAGAAAATGTAGGTCAAAAGAAATTGGCAAGGAGATAACTCAGCTATAGCATCATGAACAACGTTAGTCAACAACCATGGTACACAAATATTTGCTAGGCTCTCTCTGTAGCTACCTAGCTGAAAGTGGAATGAAATTATGTGCAAATTCCTAGTTCCTGGGGAAATTAGTCAAAGGGGTATCATTGTACAAGGTCCCTTTTAGGCTTTTACTCAAGCAAATAATTTTTGTCTCAATATCTCTCACTCTTTATACCTGTAATTATTCAGTCAAACAGATAAGGGGGCCTAATCTGATGATAACTAACGCGGAAAACTAAGACCAATGGTATTACTAGGCGGAAATATTCGTAAACTGCAAGTGCATACATGTCCAAGGGAGGAAGGCACGCGGCACCCAGCACTAAAAAGTCATCGTCTTAGGGTGGAAACTGGAAAGTAGCGACCAAATCGGCGTTGAAATGACGCTCGTACAGATATGCTAACAAGAAAGCTAAATCCTCAAAAATGATAATTTATGTTTACCGTTTACAGGGTAGAAGAAAACAACAGAAATATGTTTCTAAGTTTCTAACAGGGGTATCGTCGTGCAGATTTGGCCTGACCTTGACTTGGAATTGAAATCGCGAAAGCAAAACGTTAACCCGTCAAATTACTAAAGACCAGGAAAAACAAAAATCAAGAAATCTTGCACGATTAGAGGCGCCCACCAGGAAGGAAAACAAAACAATTGCTCCAAAACGGGGGACAGACGGAGAAGAAGAGGGATGTACCTTGCGAGCATAGATGTCAGTGAGGATTGCACCAAAACCGTCTTGGCTGTAAGCAAACTGTACGATGGATGAGCCAAACAGAACGAACTGGGGGCGTTCAGGTCCTACCATTTTCCAAATTCCGACCGGCAAAGACCAATGATATATACAATTTCTGGTTACGGTAGTTACCGGAGCTGGTTAAGCAATTGTGAGTTGGTTAAGTTGTATGAGCTGTCAATTAGTTAGTTAGTTAAAGGAGCTAAACCGACTTAATGGTAGCTTAAAACAGAAGCAGTAAGGAGAGTGAATTCATTCTGGATTGTAACAAGAAAATTCTTTCAATTGTACATCTCTCTGATCTCTTCCATCAATACAATAGCATCTTGAACTTTCGAATTGCTGCTCCATTTCTCCTGCAATTCCTAAGCTAAGGTTTTCTGGTCTTCACTGCCTTCCGTATCAACCAACCCGGCCCCATCTGTTGTTTACACCTTTACCTCCTCGGCCTATTACTGCTTCTACTGTTCTACGACAGCACGAGATCGGGTCTTTTTTTTTTTGGTAGTGATTAATGATTGGTGGTTTGAAAGGTGAAATGCATGTGATTGAAAACTGTGCTTAAAAATTATTTAAAAAAAATTCCAAATGCCGCTAAATCCATATGCCCTTTTCTGTTTTACTACAAATAGATTCTTTTGGTTTAAGAAAAAGAATGGTTGAGGGATTTTGACAGAAGATTGAACTTTGAAGGCGATCCTGCTAGTCCCCGTAGAATGCTAAAGATCTATCACTAATTGATCATTGGCTTCCCAGCTCAACCTTTAATAACTAATATGTAAACCTCATATTCTACCCTTTCATTTACCTGTCCGTTTTGGTTGTTATCGTCATCACCCTTTTTGGTAATACGTTGAGATGTTTCCAAACTACGCACAATGCACTTATTACATGAACGATTCTAAGACCATAAGTGGCTTTTTTATGTAAACAAATAACAAGAACCAGCCCGTTGGGGATCAATGGCGCGATTGCTATCCTATGTTTTTAGACTCGGATCGGGTATTGACTCGGTCGAGCTCAGGAATCACGAATCAATGGATTCGATCGAGTTGAATCGGATGACGTCATAAATAAAAATTAAAATATTTTATGTGAGATACCTAAAAGCATGTTAATATTAATAAAGGTATATTCAGATATATTTGATATTTCAAATATATTTAACAAGAAAATACAAAAAAAATTAGAACGATCAAGTAGCAATTTATATTATTTAGGACAACATTTATAAAGTATGAAGTATTTGAGATACATTAATAATTTTTTACAACTTAGGGGTCAAAATATAATATTGAAAATGCTTTGACCTTTTAACAAAAAAAAAAAGAAGAGAAATATCATCATTTTTAAGGGTAAAAAGGGAAATGCCTTGACCCACCATAATCATTTTTTAAGGGTAAAAAGATTAAAGTTAAAGTAACAATTCTTATCTAAATCCATTTATAAATGGTTTTGGATCTACCAAAAAATATTTATACGGACACCAATGGTTGTTCAAGTTAAACCACATAAAAGACAAACTACAGATTATCATCCTCACTGTTCTTGCATAAGCTGTTTATTCCCCATCGTCGTACCTTTATGCGTTTCAGGTGTTCGCATGTTCTGGCCACGGATATGCACTTATTCGCCTCTCTAATTCAAGCAATTTTTCTATTCTAGTTTTGTGTTGAGATTGAGGATTTAATGTTCTTCAAGTGTTAATAGAAGGGCAGTAGTAGAATATTTTGTTCCTTTTCTTTTGGTTAACAATTGGTGGTCGGTTGAGGAGAATGCTCAAGTTGGTCTCAAATTGAAACTTTCTGGTGAGCTTCTTTAAAGTTTTAAGATGGAAATCGGCTCCAAAACATTGAGACAAGACTGGCACCATGAATTTCGACCGTCTTTTTTTGGTGGCTGAGTACAGGCGTAACACAGTTACGCGGCGGCGATGGTGTTTCATTTGCCTCGAGAATGAAAGAGGAGAAGAAACGAAGGAAAAGAATTACTAAGAAGAATTAAGAAAAAAAAAACCATTTACTAAATTATCCATTTATGTCTGGTCCATGTATAACCATTTACTATTAGATTGGATCAATTTGATCCACGATCAATTTAGTTAGAATTACGACGATTTAAGTATTCATTTTATCACCTCTAGTTCACTCAATTTCTATTCATTTTAGTTCCTAATAAAGTTAGATCTGATTCGAACAATATTTATTTATTTTTTCTAAAAAAATTAGATGAGAATCAATTCATATTTTTGTCATTAAAAAAGCGAGATTTGAAAAGTGCTTGAATATAAAACATAAAAGTGCTTAAATATTTAATATGCGTTTTTATACATAACACATGTTTTATGCATCCAAATCGTATACTTAAAGGTACTTAAATATTTAATACATATTTTAATTAAAAGTTTTATTAAGTAAAGCATTTTTTAATAACATGGAATAAGATGCAGTTCCATACTTACCCCATGCCACAGTAAAAAGTGCTTAAACGAAGGAAAAACTTGTTCCTTTTTTTTTTTTTTTTTTTTTTAATTTTAGTTAGTCGATAGGATATAAAATAAAAAAGGGGAAAAAACTTGTTCCAGTTTTTTGCACTCAGTATTTAGCGCTTCCCTTTGGTGAAAACTAACGAGAAATAGCCAAGAGCAGTAGGTCATCGTCGGCGCCGCTCTGTAGTAGTATTGGCATCTTCTTCAGCCCGCTTGTCGCAGTTCTCACAAAACTAGTCGCAGTAGCCTGGAAAAGAAATGGATATTGCTTTATTTTCTCCGGCTTCTCTTTTCGCTGATCCCGACGGCGATTCCAATGGTCATCTCCTTTTCTATCTCATATTATTCTCTATTTCTTTCGATGTATCTCATGCCCACTTGCCCTTCTGTGTTTTCTTCTCGTTATTTTGCGTGTTAATTAAAATTCTGTTATTATTTGTCAGATGAGGAAACTAAAGAATCCCATCAAAATTTCGTGGAGAGAAAGCACCAATTCCCTGGAATGGTCAGCATTTCAATCTAACTAGTGTTATTTTCTTTTTCTTTTAAGTAACATTTATTGTTTGTAAAATACTCTACCCAACAATTAGCAGGAAAAGAACAAATAACGACTAAATATTAGTTGGATTTATAGAGGCGCTACTCTCTGACCTTATTGTTTTGGGCTTGTAGTTATTATTGGGTAGAGCAACTTCCTAGAATGATGTGAGCTACAGTGGCTATTTGTTGCAGCCGTACACTAGTCTTACCTTTGGACCTTTCCTTTTTCGGGGGGGAGGGGGGCGGGGGTTCTGCAGGAATTGATCATTCGGGAGTTTTCGTTTCACCAGCTGAATGCTAATTTGTTGTGGCCTGGAACGTTTGCATTTGCAGAATGGTTAGTTCAGAACAGATCATGGATGGCAGGACGGCGTGTAATTGAGCTGGGAAGGTATACCTTGTTTGTGGTTCTTGTGTTTAAACAACTGCACTGCATCTTTTAGCCCTATGGAAGTTTATGATTAGGAACCTGAAAAGCTGCATTCCCACTGCATATATTGATAAACTATCCTGCATATATTGATAATCAGCATTCCCACTGCACGTATTGATGATAAGCAAATATCATCCAATTGAAAAAGATTAGAGGATCAGGTCAGCTATAGATGTTAAATGATTTAGCCTGTGCTGGGGCAAGATATAGTATGGATGTACATGTAGGGACTAACCTTACGTTTACAGAATTTTTTTTTAATGAGTTGCGAAATTGTAGACTTGTAATTTACATAAGGATCTTAGTAGAAATTTTACTACATTTTGTCAATAGAGACCAATACCATTTCTAAAGTTTACATACTCCTTAAATCCGCCCTAACTAATTAATTTGGATGCAAATGATATACTGAAGAAGATGCTTCAGAGAGTAAATTCAACTTAATTTAAATTTGTAGCAAAACTTGAATAATTTGAGAGAATGTGGATCTTGCTTTAGTGAAATAAGTACTTGTGATAGATTAAAGCATGCTAGAGGAGCTAGATGTTAGAATAAATTATCAACTAAGTCAATCACATGAATTATAACAATTTTTACTTAGGGTGCGTTTGATAAAAGTAAAATCTGAAGTCTAAATTCATTAAGGTATTGAATTGTTAAGTATTAAATTAAATAGATTTGAGTATACATCACATTCAATGATAAGTTAATAGCTTATCACTTATTTTTGAGAATAAGTTTTGTCTAGAAAATTCAGTGCCACTTAATTAATTCAGATGTTCAATTTTGGTTGTCAAACGCGTCTAACATATTAAAATCTGAATCTATTAAATTTAAGTGTCAAATTGGGTTATCAAACAAGATCTTAGTTTGTTGAAGAATCGCAGAGTTGAACTCTCTCCAAGTTGGCTTGCGAATACTCCCAGACTCTTATCTTTAGGGGGAAAAATGAAAATTTGGTGGACAAAATTGTTAAAAAATGTCTCCTCATCGTGCTGATGTAAAAGACGCAGGATAATCAGCAAATTAATGTAACACATAATCTGTAGATTTGCAGCTTCTATCCACCTAGGTTTATTGCCTGATGCAATTGCTATCTAGAGAAGCCTAGGGCTTGTCTCCCCTTGTTATGATGATCTGGACTTTTCATCTACTGTTGGCAGCTCCGTTTCCACCTTTTCAAACTTGTGGGGAGTTTGGAGGTGTTGCTGATGTTTGTTTCGTTGCTTCATCACAGTGGAACCGGAGCCTTGGCAATCTTCTTGCATAAATCATTTAACCTCGATATTACAACGTCAGATTATGATGATCCTGATATTGAGGACAACATAGCTCATAATTGCAGATTCAATGGGATTATTCCTGTACTTCCTCACATAAAGCGTTAGTCCTTCTTTATCACTTGTTACTATTGCAATGAAGCCATTTTTCGGGGAAATTTCTATAAGCCCTCAATCTGTTGTACTCGCAATTGACAAATCATTTTACTGGATTTCAGAACCAATTATCTACTTGTCTTTTCAGATTCATGGGGTGAAATTTTCCCCATAACCAATCCAGACTGGAACCTGGTAATTGCTAGTGATATCTTATTGTGTGAGTGCCTAATACCATAATGACTTTTCGAAGTAACTTGATTTTTTGGATATTCTTCGATCATCTCTATAATTTTTTGGGTTGTGTTTATCTTTCATCTTCTTGCTATTTGACTACTTGTGGAGCATTCTTAGTGGTCTAATATGGAGTTGATGGTTTGCTGATTTTTAGATGTGAAGCAATATCCAAACTTAATAAAAACTCTCTCCTTCCTTTTGAAATCCTACAAGCCACAAGCTAGTGAAGAAGTTTCTCAAAAAAGTCAATCAAATGGTAGTATTTATTCCTGGTTATTACTGAATTATAAATCCTAGACGCCAGTTAACCTAAACTAGTTGATGTTCTGTGGTTTGCACCTCAGATGCATGCCTGCTCCCCCGACCTGCATTTTTTATGAGCTGGAGGCGCAGAATTCGGAAGGAGGACGAGTCACTCTTCTTCAATGGATGTGATGAAGCTGGTCTTGAAGTACAGCATCTAGGAACCCGCGTGTACTGCATTGTACCTAGAGAAGTAAACTGTTGAGGAAATTGCTGAAACACAGGTAAGTTACTCTTCATGGAAAATAGACACCGTCAAATTTGAAAGAAGATTTCTTTGTCAAGGTTTGTTCATCTAGGTACTTCTTCCAAAAGCTTTTAGATTTTCCCTACCATTTCTCTGGGTTTTATTACCTTAGCACGGGGCAGATTGAATAGTTCCTTTGAATTCATGAAGGGTTTGTGTTATCAATAGTTCTCCAAGGCCTCCTCCTGGGCAATCGCTTACATGTTCTCTCTTGGGCTGCAAACTGCAAGCAAGTCTGGGGCAATATAGAAATTTTTTATTGTCTTGGCATATGATGTTATATTATGAAATTGTATCCTACTGTTGTCAGTGGTTGATTAAAATTTGGTTAACTCGAAAAGAAAATAAAAGTTGATCACCGTTTTTTTTTTTTTTTAAAATAAAAGTCGGTACTAAAAGTGACTTTTATATGCTCGTCCTAAATCCTAACTGAGATAAATGATGCCGAATGACCATTACTGAACCATACCATTGAATCACATTATGAATATGTCTTCATTTTTTGTTTGGTGAATTATATTTTAGAATTTACCGTAGCACTAAAAACCCAAAAAGAGTGAACTCTAATAGTCATCTACTGATATCTTGAGGAACAGGTCACGTTGGACTCTCATGCTATTGGACCATCCTGTTTTCGGTTTTCCCATTGAAAATTGATTGATTTGTGTGAATCATAAGCCACTCAAGACTTCATAACCATAGTTAAGAATATGAGATAATTTCAGAAACCTCCCCTGAGGTTTCTAACACTTTCATTGACATCCTTTGAGGTTTGAAAAATTATACTAATCCCCCTTGGACTTATAGTTTTAGTAACAAATCAGTCCAATTCAGAAAAACTACTATTAAAAATGTATTTTGAGGAGTGAGATGATAGATTTCTTCCATATATGCTCTTTTCTAATTGTTCTCAAGTTGTATTAGTAAAGAATAAAATAATTAATAAAAATCAAGAGATATATGTAAAATTTAAAAAGATGTAGAATTTTATAACCTGAAGCAACAATGGTCTCTGCATGTAGCTGGTGCAAATTGTAATGGCCATATTTTTTGTCATTTGCAATTACCTATAAAGGACACAACTAACTTTATAATGCTATAAATTATTATTATAAGCATCTAAATTTAAATTTGGGTTAAAAAAATTAATCTTTTTATTTTAGTTGACAAGGTAAAAGTAAAAGTATTGGTACAGAAAACATACAAGTTTTAGTCAACAAATCAACAACAAAAGGCATGAATAGTTTTGTTTCAACACAAGATTTAACAAAATAAGTTAATCAGAAATTTTTTTTATTTTTCTTGCTCATAAGAGCTATGTGTGCAGATCATATAGGTTGTCTGTTCTAATCATTGTCAAGTGATATCAATTACAAAAAAGCACCATCTTAGGATAGCAATTGATGCCATTTTTTTATTGTAATTATGGTTGCTAATTTGAGATGAAATAATCATTTTTTTGGTTTAATTAGTTAATCTTATTTATTTAGTGCCCTAATTTTTTTTGGTCAAATATCTATTTGTAATAATGCATAACGTCTTAGGACAAAATAGTCCTTTCATTATATCTTATGTAAGTAATGGGTCCAAATTTCTAACAACGGAGGTTAGTGTAATTTTTAAAATCTTAGGGGAGGTCAGTGAAAGTGTCAGAAACCCGAGGGGTGGTTTCTGAAATTATCCCTAAGAATATTGCCTGAAACGAAACCCGAGGCCTCAGAACTAATTTTCTCCACTCGCCGGTGAATCTAATGCGGGGAGATCCTCCAAATCCTTCCGAAAACCACCAAGAAATAGTAGAAAGCCGTCATTTTTTGAGTATCAAAGTCGATGTCAACAAAGTACGGGAACTAGTACCATTCATTATTGTCCATTTGAAGCCCACCACCACATGACTGCTTCCCTCTGCTGCACCGGTCGGGATTTCCTGACGTACAAACTCTGGAGCCTGAGGTTGTAACGGTGGGATGCCCCGAATGGTGGCCCAATTTGGATCTGGAGGGGCCTCTAAATACATTTCTATTGGCCAAGCCAATATTGGGACATGTCCTGTGCAGGCAAGACATCGCCGCTCCACAACAACTTCACGGCGGGTTGGTTTCGCATCCCTTGTAAATAAATCAATATATAAACATCAGTCGTCAAGAATTTGAATTCGACTTGTGATTTTGTCATCATCATCGGGGAGAAACTTCGCAGAAGTCGGCTCTTTCGATTCCGCAGTCCCCACACTCTGATATCTGAAACTGAACGACAGTTGATCACATGGGCTAGCAGTTGCATTGTTTTGGATTCATCGTCAAGTTCATGATGACCATACAACACGGTAACTACACGACGCAACCCACGACGGTACCGCTTTGATATTTGAAAATATCATGCGTTTCAAAACTTTCTTCCCATCCCCGAATGTTCAACTACCGCCAGTATCTCCAGTAATCCAAAGAAAAAAACAAAAAAAATCTTGCGATGCGCTGCACTAGTATCTATTATTCCAGTTCTGGTGGGATCCCAATGTAGAACTAGGGCTAGGGCCTCACCCAAATTAGTATCCGCAATTAAGGGTCTGTAAGGGTTGAGTGAGAGAGTGAGTAGTTCTACTACTTTTTTTTTTTTTGTTTTTGTGGGTGGTTCTGCGGCGGCTTTACCGTCAACAATAAAGGGTCTTATATGCCATTGCATGTTTGACAGAGGAACGCATGGAGATGGGAGGAGTTCTGGGACTACAAGAAAGAAAAATGGCTGATGCCAACTGATTCCTGAATCTGAAGATCCGTGAGGATGCGAATGAACAAGAGTTCTTGGACCCGAATGAAAATAGGCCCACTTGTTTTTGCTCTGAACGTCCGTGCGTAAACGTACTGTGTACGTACATATGGCAGCAGCCTCAATTTGCGCCGACCACAAAAAAGACACGTTCCAACAAAGCCCGGGTGGAGAAATGCTAGGACCGATTAACTAAGCAAATCTGTTGTAGAGCTGTGGTCAGAAGATTTCGATGATGATGACCTGAATTAAGCTTATATTAGATACCATGGCCATAATATTTCTTGCAGGCAAATGAGGAAAAAGCATAATAGATCACACAAATAGATATGTCAATGAGTCGGATCTTATTTAAATTCAATATATTTAGGTAGGATTTGAGTTTAATTTATTAAACTTAAATCCTGTTTAGATCCAAACTCAGACACTATAAAAGAGTCATGGATCTGGATTTAGATAGGGATTGATTTTCTACGATCTAGTCTCAAATCCAAATCCATACCAAATCCTATTCAGATTCATGTATAAATAAAAAAATGTGTGTGTTATCAATAAATTTATATAATAATCTAATATTTTGTGTCATTGTAATTGGCACAAACCTTTTTTAAAAAAAAAAGAGAAAAAGTAAAAGCGAATAAGTGAGATTCAATGTAGATGCAGACAAAGTTTAGAAAACAAATAATTTTAGTTGATAAGTGTTCTTTATTTGAGTTTATAATATTGCATTCAACATCTTCAATGTATTTGAAAATAAAAATTGGATGGCATTTATATTATTCTAAATATTTTTACTTTAGTTCTTTACTGTATTTAGAAACGTATCCATGGAATTGAAAATGGATACCCAAACTCATGAGAGTCCAGATTTGGGTTTACTTTTTAGACTCAAATAGGTTTGGATCTGATTATATTTAATGGGTGGATCTAGATCTAAGAGATCTAATCCAAACCCTACTTAATGACATGCTTACACACAAATCAAGAGAAAAAAAGACTTAAGGTACAAACTAGAAAGTGGAAACAGGACCAGATATTAGTACGAGAGCAAGAGTTGATTTTGGAAGCTTGACGCACGCCCGCCTTCTTTATTTTCGCTTGGTGATGAGCAAGGTACTACTAATTTGCAACTGGCCAGTTAATATTTTCTGAATTTGTACCGCTCGACGGAGGATGGTGCGGTTAAAAGTTAAAAGTTAAAACCAAAGGGGTGCTACACTTATTTTGCCCTCAAAACAAAACAAAGTCTCCTTAATTATCGAAAACAAAAAACATTTGTGGTTTGATGGAAGTTTGGCAATTAGGTTTACATGCTCGGCTAGTGCTGCTGTAGTGTGCCCTTCATCCATCATCGGAAGCAAGCTGGTGGGAGAGGGTGTTTTTCAAACTTCAGATATTTGTTTTCCAAACGAATGGTCGAGAAACTGAGATTGATTATGTATTGTATGTGCAACTTTCGACAAAATCCACCTGTCGATGAAGTACGTTAGTTAGTGACAGAAGACAAGCAAACTAGAAATACAAGCTAAGTAAACTACTTATCACAGAAACTCCCCTTTTTTACTTCCTACAACTGTAATAGTAAGTATTAACAAGACGTCTTCAATACATGAGAACAAAATAATTTTTTAGCTCCTGGCCTCTGCTAAACAATGTCTATAATGCCAACACAATGTAGAATAATATATATATATATATATATATATATATATATGAGGAGACAATTTACAAATATAAAAGGGCAAAAAATTTCGGCGGCCATTAAACTAATGGTCGGGTCAAGTTTTGATCTTCAACCAATTTTTTATCACAAGTTGGCCATTAAACTAACTAATCAGTACACCCATGATTATTGCGTCAATTAAAACTCTTAATCTATGAAATAAGCAGAACATATGGCATAGTTTTGCTCTTAATTGTGTAAGTGGTGGACAAAACTACCCCTGTACTTTGCTACATGTTCTACTTATTTCATAAATTAAGAGCACCCAATGGTCACGAGTGTACTAATTAATTAATTTAGTCGCTAATTTGTGACAAAAAATTATTTAATGGTCAAAACTTGATTCGACTAATGGTTTAGCGGTCGTTAAGATTTTTTATCCCACATAAAAATATATATAGGAGAAGAGAAATAATACCAACAATAATATATTAATCACACACTATAATAGCAAGGCTATCAAATCTTCACTCTTCTCAACTAAATACAATAATATGACTCCTTATTTATAGACAAGATGACTTGATAAACAAGTTTTACAATCATAAAAAAAATTCTAATAAGATACTAATTGCTAAATAATAAAATTACCATAACTTGATTCCAATAAAATTATTAAAACCCTAATTTAATAAAAATACTACTAAATAATAATATGAAAATTTCTAAATTTGAACTTGATTTAATATGTGCCTCCCTTAAATCAAACACTCTCTTGGATCAGGTTCACCACCATCATGATGAATAATTTTCCTTGATTTTTGCTGCTGCAATATTCCATGTACTTAGACAGATTTATCTTGTCACTTAACTTATTATTCACTTGCCAAAATAATCACCCTTTTGGATAGACTGTTTTCATCGTCCAATTTGATGTTAACTTATTGAAAATTCACTTTGTGATTTTCATAATCATGATTCAATTGACAAGATTTTTCTCTATTCTCCGTCGTAACATCCGCAATCAATTTGATAATTCTTGAACCAATCTTATGGTTTAATTCTCACAAACTGGACACTTTATGACAACCTTGTGATCGAATTCGATCAACTAATTTTTTCACAGCAATTGTTATGCTCTAATTTTGACAGCAAAAAACACCCACAATTAACTTTCGTAATTGGGTCAATTCTTCAATGTCTACAAGCACTCCAGCATTAATTTGAAACCTAGGGTTTTGATACCAAATGTAAAATACAAAAAAAACATGGGGTGACAATTTACACACACACAAAAATATGTGTGGGAGAAGAGGAATAATATCAACAATAATATATTAATCACACACTACAATATCAAGGCCCTCAAATCTTCACTGTTCTTAACTAAATATAATAATATGACTCCCTATTTATAGATAAGACGACTTGATAATACAACCATAAGAATTTTTCTAATAAAATACTAATTTTTAAATAATAAAACTATCATAATTTGATTCCAATAGAATTATTAAAACCCTAATTTGATTAAAACACTACTAAATAATAATTAAAAATTTCTAATTTTAAACCTTAATTTAATATGCCAACACATAATGTGTGTGCAATACGATTTGCATGACGTTTGAGCAAGATTGATAATAAGATCAACTGATATAATTGACAAATGCTTTTCTAGTCACAGAATTGATGCAGTAAAAAAGATTTGAAGTTACTTAAGATTAGAGTTGGCAATTTGTCCCAAGTCCCACTGGGCTACCCATGCCCAAAGGAATTTTGGGCGGGATGGGTATTATAATTTGGTATTGGGTTTAAGTTGGGACACATCCCAACTATACCCATTAATGGATGGGAAAGGATGGGAAATACTTGGGTACCCATTGGGCTCAAATGGCAAGGGCTCCGTTTGGATTAGTTGTTTTTGGTAGGTGTTTTTGAAATATTTTATTGTAGTAGTATATATGAAAAATTTTTACTATAAAATTTTTTTGAAATATTTGATATATTAATATGGATGGGATGTTTCTTGAGTTATTGTATATTACTGTAACATTGTATTTGAAAAACTTATTTTTTGAAAAAAAAATCAATCCAAACGGAATCTTAGATTCAAAAATTATCTTTAACAATTTTTATAGTCATACCAGCGAATATAATCTAGTAGTCTTCCTAGTCATTATCCACAAGAATTTCCAGCATTTCAGTTAGTTTAGACCTGTCATCCTTGGACAATGATAAGGATAAATATTCAACATCCTAAGGACCTTGGCCATCTTGATATATGTTGGAATATGGCTGTATATCTATCTTTTCCTTTATTTGTTAATCCAATTTTTGGTGGGAATCTTGAGTATAAAGCACTTGCATGTTTATTTAATAAAACTAAAAGAAATTTAATAAATCAAAAATATTAAAATTATATTAAAAAAAATGAATTAAAGGAAAAAAAATATGTAGAAAATGGATTTGGGTATTGGGCGGGATCAATCTAAACCCATCCCAAAATGATCCCGCCCAAGTTAGTCCCAAAACACATATGGGTAAGGTTGGGCCCAAACCCATATGACTCGGTTCCATCTCAAACCCAAGCAAATCCCGCCCATCCCGCCCATTTTGCCACCTCTACTTAAGATGGCCCTTTGAAAATTGTAACCCGAAGAATGGTAATTACGTTTTCCAACCTTGTGTACATTAATGTTCCGTGACAACTTAGTACTTAACCCCGAAGATGCACATGATAGTAGGCACGAAAAAAAAAAGAAAAAAAAAAAGGAAGCCACGCGGAAGTTTCCTTTAGAACTGAGTGATGACTGATGAGTATGATTCCGGATCTAATATATGTGTATATACATGATGCAGTAGTATTACATCTGTGTGCACCACCACATCGAAGCAGCAAGCCCTAGTTACTTGTGACTCCCCACAATTTAGTTCTAGGAATAAATTTTGCTCACTTTTGATTTCGCTAGGTTAAATTAGCCAGAATGGCTTCGAACGCAGAAACATGGCTGTTGGAGAATGGAAACCTGAAGTGCTTGAGCAAGGAGATGAGGCATGGTGTCCGGACAGCCCATAACATGTCATCATCCTCTTTGCGCAAGAAATCTGAAATTGCCCTAGTCTCAAAAGTGCCTTACCGTTTCGTTAGAGACTTTCTGGCTAATCTTCAAGAAGTCATTCTCGGAACAAAGCTTTCTGTCCTCTTTCTTGCAATTCCATTTGCAATCGCCGCTCAATGCAACCACTTCGGAAGAGTAATAATTTTCCCCTTCCATTAATATTTCTAAGCTTATTATAATTAACCACTAGTTCATGTGATATGTATATCTATATAGTGCTATATACAGTCATTAATTTTGAAAAAACCCTCATCACTGATTTACTAAATTTTTCCGAAACAGCCGTGGGTTTTTGCGTTGAGCTTGCTTGGACTCACTCCGCTCGCAGAACGCGTCAGCTTCCTCACAGAGTAAGCTTTCCATACGTAAACCGCAACTACCCTAATCGTTCGTTCTTGCATTAATTAATTCCACCATCTTATGATTCTGGATTTCGGAGCTGACATCTGCTAATTTACTTTTCTGTTGTATGTGCCCTCATTCGAAATGCAGACAAATAGCAATGTATACCGGACCAACAGGTAGATTCTCAATTCAGTGTGTTGTTGAAA